GAGCAGAAACACGCGGTTGATGAGAAAGAAGAAGGAAAAAAAAATCAGTCCATCCTTATCCAAATTTTTTTCCTCTTTTAAGTCCCTCAAGTTTCAGAATATTCACTATTAAGCCCCAAAATAATATTTTCTCACACAAAGGTCCCCTAACTTAATTGATAAAATTCCCAAAATTTTGGGATATTACAGATAGCTACAATAACATTGCTTAGGTTAATTGGAGTAAGGTTTGCCTTGATAAATCAAAGGGCGGGCTTGGCATACCAAATCTCACACTTAGGAACTCTGCCCTTTTAGGGAAATGGTGGTGTAAGTTCTATGATGATGATGAAACTGGGAAGTTATGGAAGAAAATCATTGTCAGTAAATACTATGAAGGTGCTCCTACTGATTCTATTTCTAATACTGTTTATTCAAGATTGTCTCCCTTTTGGAAAGATATCTTGTCTATTGGCAGGGATGATGAAAGAGCTTCTGCATGTTTTATTGATGGTTTTATTCGAAAGCTAGGTGATGGTTCACAAATTAGATTTTGGAAGGATGTCTGGCTAGGGAACTCTTCTTTTCTGACTAATTTCTCTCGCTTATTCAATCTCATTCGGAGCTAGGATTTGCTAGTTGTTGACTTAAAGCTAGCTAATGCTAATGGATGGGCTCTTCAATGGCGTAAGCCTCCTTTTGGCAAGCAACTGGATGAGCTTGCGGTGTTGGAAAATATTCTGAAAAATGTGTTCATCCCATATAATAGAGCTGATCAAGTTATTTGGAAATACAACTTGGCAGTATACTCTGCAAAACAAGCCTACATGTTCCTTGAGTTCTCCTCGGTATGTCTTAATAAGAGTTGCTGCAAGACTATTTTGAGTCCTCTCATGCCATCCAAAGTCAGTATCTTTGCTTGGCGCCTCTTCTTAAATCGACTTCCTACCAAGGACAACCTTATTATTCGTGGAGTTGATCTTGCATCCAACCCAAATTGTGTCCTTTATAGAAACTACATAGAGGACCTCAACCACATCTTTGCCACCTGCCAGTATTCTCAAAATATCTGGAATCGAATTTGCAACTGGTGGGGGGTTTATTTTATCCCTACTGCAAATGCTTCATTGCTAGTTACTGAGCTTTGTTCACTTATGGATGCCAAGAAATCATGGAACTATTGGGTACTCTCCATTTTCACCACAGCCTAGACAATCTAGTACTTTAGAAATGGTATTGTGTTCAATAAACTAATTTGGGAAGAAAACTAAATTGACGATCTGGTTCAAGTTAAGACTTTTTTGTTGGATTAAAAGAAAGTTAAAATCTGCAGTGTTTAGTTTTGATGATTGGTGCCAATTTCCAAATCTTTGTGCCGATGGCACTTAGACACCAAATTGCAACCCTTCTTTTTCCATTTTTCTTACAAGGGTGAGTACCCTTTATACTCATTTAAATAAAATTTTGATTCATCAAAAAAAAAAAAAATTGTGTAATGCAGGGGTAAAAAAAAACTAATTTTTGTATTAAATTTTAAGATAATTATTTTATTCATTAATTATATATAGGCTTATATAGAATTTATACCATAATCAACAATTATGATAAATTTATATTAAAATTTAATCTTAAAAATTTATGCCAACTGTCATTATTCCTGTAAATAACATCGATAAGGAAAATCTCGAAACGCCCCTTTTGTCTTGAAATTATTTGTTTACTCAAAATTAATTCAAAATTAATTGTATTTTTTCAAATTTTAAAGAAAAAAATAATTTTTAATACGTAAAAGGTTAAATACCCTTTTTGGTCCCTCTACTATAAGAAAAAACCCATTTTTGATCCCTGTACCGAAAAAATCCCTTTTTTGGTCATTACTGTTCACAAATCTGGCCCCTTTTTGGTCCTTCCATTAATTTTTGCTCATGTGACACGTTAACTTAATGGAAACAGCTAATGTGGATATAATGATGCCCTCCACGTCACCCTCCACGTGTAGGAAAAAGAAAAAGAAAAAGAAAAGGTTAAATGTTAAATTTGATCCCTCAACTTTATAAGTTTGCATTTTTTTGATCCTTAGATTATTCTTTTCACTTTTTTGATTTTTTAACTTTAAAAATTACACAATTTTGATTCTTTCGTCAGTTAAACATGATGTGGCAATTATATAATTCCATTTGACATTTTCTTTTAATTTTTTTGATGACATGACAATTATATATATTATAATTATGTTATATAGATAAATAAAAATGTTCCGTAGATAAATATTTATATTTTAATTTAAACATAAAATTACATTATTACCCTCAACTCTCAACCCCTCTTCGTCCCTTTCTTTCTTTCTCTTTCTTTCTTTCCTACCCAAATCAGCTGGGTTCGTCGAAACCCAGCCTTGCTGGTTGCTCAAACCCAACCTTGTTGCATTCGTCAAAACTCAGTTACTGGTTTCATTAAAGCCACTGAGTTCATCAAGCCAGTAGATCTCATCAAATCAAATTAACCCTTCATAAACAATATCATTCAAACTCTAATCCAATTCCAAGAAAAATGCAATCAAACTCTAATCCATAAGAAAAATGCAATCAAATTGTAAATCAACTTTCAAATTTATCAAGAACCGAAAATGAAAATAGAAAGAAAAATGAAAAAACATGAACTCAGCGTCGAAACCCAGCAAGGTTGGGTTCGCGTGAC